AACTCGCCAACCGAAAACATATAAAAATGCAATCATTGATTGCAGACTTGCTTGTTTGTAGTTTTTTCTTCTTCTTTGTATTTTATTTGCAATTGAGTTTAATCGTCAGTGATAAAAAGTCTGCGAACTGTGTCTGATTAATGTGTTAGTTTTTGTTAAAAGTTTAATTTAGGAGCGTGGCGTTAACAAAAATTCACAAAAAGTCTAAAAAATAACAAAGAAAGATGTAATTGATAAAAATAAAATAACACTAAAAAAACAGGAAAACATAAAAATCGTGGGAAAAGAAATGCATGCAATGGTTAAAAACTCACTAAAAATTACACAAGGATAACGAGCGCAAAATTAGTGCAAAAAACAAGCTTAGGTGGTAAATAAACCGATTTGTATTTGGTAATCAATTTTTGCTAAAACTATTGAAAAATGCGTTTATGAATTTTAAATTAAAATTCGTACTATTGTTATAAGCTATTAAAGGGAGTGACGGGAATCGTTTTCAAAACAGTTTTTCCTTAAAGGGTTACATGGGTTTAAGGGTTCCAAAGAAGCGAAACTAATATGATTTTATTAAATTCTACAATATCTCTAGAATACTGCCCATTTTAAGTTAATCCGAGTAATAGTTTCGGAGATACAGCCTTAAGAAGTAGTGCAGTCGAAGTTAGCTAGGCTAAGTGCGCGGTCTTTAAACGCAGTTCTCTCAAAACTGTGCCAATAACCGATTTTAATCTATCTGTTTCCAAAATTTTAAGAATTTCTTAGTCAATAGTGTATGTTTGTAACAATAAAATAATCAAATCAAATATTTAATTTTTAATATTATATATTATTTAAAAATATTTTTTAAACACAGTTGACATCTTTTTGAAATTAAAGAAATTAAATGAAACAATGCCCTCTATATTTCACATTAAAGGTGAAAATATTTTTTTCAAAAATTGTTCAGCTGCAACAATTTTGAAATAGAGTTGCCACTTATTTCGAAAACTAAAATACTAATTGAACTGAGTTTCCACCTATCTCATAATTAAGATGCTTTTTCAGTTTTTTCAGTATATAAGTGTATAGATTAGATATACATAATAACATTTAGAGCAAATTATTTTTAAAGAGAGTTGCCACATTTCTGCAAAAGCAGTTGAATTTTTCAATACTATGTATTAAAGATTAAAATATTTTAATATAGTAATAATATTTGAAAAATCGGTCAGTTGCGACAGTTTTGGAACAGAGTTACCATCTATTTAGAAAATACTACCACCTGCATCTTCAATAAAATGTTTCTCATTATTTAAATAAGTATATTAGTGGTATATATTTGCTTCACAAAGCTTTGAGAAGAATATATTTCCACAAGGGTTGCCGCCTTTTTTTTTAACTTAAAACAAGTTACAAGTACTGTATATATTTTAGGGTAAATTTCAAAATGTTTATACTATACAGAAAGTATTTGAAATATTGTTAAGCTGCAAAAGTTTTGGAACACAGTTTCCCCCTTCTTCTTAAACAAAGTTGCCAGCTGTCTTTCAAATAATATTTGTATCATTATGAAAAGGCTTTTTCGACTACGCAATATTTAGTATTCAGCATTGAATTCTAAAATATGACAAAATATTCGTTCATCACATTTGACATAGATTATGGTCCAAAAAAAATTTTACAATATCTGAAGAAATTTTCTAGATCTCATCATATATGCATGTGAAAATGATCCAGCTTCAATACAAGCTAACCACGCTTTTTTCTCGTTTTAATTGTCAATTCAAACATTTGCAGCAAATTAGTTGTGTGCAATTCATTAAACGGAAATTATAATCAAATTCAATAAACAACAAAATAGTAGTTGGCAAAAAAAAAAAAAAAACAAAAAACAAAACAGAAAAGAAAATTGAAGTTGAGCAAATTATTAAATAAATGGGTGGTGTGCAGACTGTGTGGTGTTGACTTAATCAAATGGCAAAAATAATAATATTTCCCCAGTTCGTGTGTCAGTCAGACAGCGCGTTGCATGACATTGCCAGCGTTGCAATGACCGGAAGCAAAACAGCTATGTAATTACTTACATACCTATGTACATACATGTAAGTATGAATATCTGAATGAATATATTTATATACATATATGTACATATGTATATTAGAGAGCGATTGCTTATTTACTTATTTATCTGCATCGTGTCTGCATTAATTTTGCTCTGCAAACGGCTTCGCTGATGCAATTGAAAGCGTTGAAAACGCTTGGCGTGCTGGCGAGTTGCTGGCTTGCCGACTTGTCGGCTTACCGCTGCGTTGAAATGTGTGGACAATTTTAATTGTTGACAATTTTACTCGTGATTAGTACACCAAATGTCATTGTATATATTTACAGTTAAGTTTACACACATTTACATGCATACAAACAATGAATGATTATTGAAATCAAAACGGAAATGAATGGGGAAGAATGTCAAGTTGCGCTGCAGCATTTAGATATGCATTTACTATCAATTTGTATATACTATATGTACATATGTATGTATATATCGATACATAAAATTAAATGACTCAAATATTACAAATGAATGTATTGTAGATATAACGGGTGATCCCTTGAGAGGTACTTTTTCAATAGCCTTCCTTTGGCAGATCACGCCTGAGTCGTGTCGTGATGACATGTTATTTTTGTTCTGTATTGCTTGGCATTTTAACATGGAAAGACTTATGTTTGAACAACGTTTACAAATCCTTCAACTTTATAACGAAAATTCAAGTTCTGTAAAGAATGTGCTTTATGCGATTCCCTCAATTTATGGTCAATATAATACTATTGACAGCACCATCTTGAGAGCCAGCATTCATTATTGGATAATATTCGACCGAATAGAGGGTGTCCAGCACGCAGTGAGGAAAATATAGCAACCGTAGCTGAGAATGTACACGAAGATCGTGGAGAGTCGATTCGGCGCTGTTAAGTAGAGTTGTTAAATTCTATGCGTACAAGAACTGAAGCCGCTCGACCTTTCCAAGCAACATCGGTGCGTTCTATGGGTTCTTGAAAAATTTCAAGTAGATCAGATGTTTTCGAGTCAAATTTTGACAACGATGAAAAATATATCACGATTTAGGCCGGTTGTTTGACCACAAAGATCGTGTGATGTCATACATCACTTTTCCTGTGGGAATATGTAAACTCTAAATCCCGCTTCCATTCAGACCTTATAGGAAAATATCACGCGTTTCATTTGCCAGTCACCAGTCGAAATGGTCGAAAATTGGACTCAAAGGGTGGACCATCGAGACACAGCCGCGGCCAAAATTTGAAGCAGATAATCTTCAAAACAAAAAATCACAAAGAATGTTCTTTTGAATGATAATAATCATACCACACTATTTTTCTTTAGTATAGTAGAGTAAGGAACCTCGAAGTGGATCACTCTATATATACATAAGCTCAAATTGCTGTTCAAGTATTGTTTGATTTACTCAAAATACACGTACAAAATAAATTAAAAGAATTTTTCAAATGATAAAATTACGAATTTTCGCTACAATTAGTTACCGATTGACAGAGAGCGCTCCTTACTGCGCTTAATCAATCAGTGTTTAATAATTATACTCCATTGTGACTGAACTAACTTAAGCAGCGAGACAAATTCTTATTGTAGAAGTAGCTGCTGGCACAGTGACAGTCATAAAAATATCACATTCAAGTGAAATAATCAGTATCCATTTTCTCTTCTCCACTTCTCTACCCGCTACGAGTGTGCTCTGCACTCTTGAGAAAATAGAAGGCAAGAGACGATGCACCATTAACCATTTAATAATGTTAATTTAGTAAGTACTGGCTAACAGAAGAAAGCTAAGCTAATGTAAATCGCATTAACGTCTTCGAACTCTTGTGGCAATACAGCGGTTAAATAGATTACTAATTTGTTCTGAGATTTGAGAGAGATTGTATCGGTTAATGATCCATGCAGCATTTCGTCAAGATATCTTGTCAAATAAAAAAGGTTTCCACACAAGAACTTGATTAGAATCGCACAATTTACATGGCAGTTTTAGGTTATAGTGATCCCATCACAACTATATCAATTTTACGCTTAAAAACTATTATATATTGGGCTTTTAATATATGGCGAAACTATTTAAATACCTTTTTTTATGATTTTATAATATATTAAAACCACTGACTTTTGAACTTTCAATACTCAATAAAGTGAATTAAGTCTGTTAACTCTCAAATAAATACTTTAAACAAATTTTTCATTAAAAACTAATACTACTATGCGTCACATTACAAAACATTTCATCAAATACATTTACATTTGTTGTTTTTATTATTATTATTATTATTTTTTTTTTTCATTGTTTAACATTTTTTGTTAGCGATCTTAAACGGCTGCAACAAATCCCTCCGTCAATTATATTTCTGATAGAATTTTAATCAGGCAGTTTCAGGCATTCCAATTGCGAAGCGCCAAAACCAGCAGTACCAGTAAACTGTCAAACTTAGACAGGTGAGCGGCAGAGTTGGGCATCTCATTATCACTTCTATAGTGGTGCGATATTGGCGGTTGCGACAGAAGGGAAAGAGAGAAGTGAATAGTGAAACATTTTAAATCGATATCTCATAAACTGGATACACGTACATACGACATATGGACATCGTCCAATCGAGTCTGCTTTTCATGCTGATCATCACTTACTTATATTTTAAAGAATATCTGTCGTTTCCTTCTAGGTGTTACAAATTACTGGTGTTGGAGTTTTTTTTTTCTTGTTTCAATTAGTTTTAGGTAAATTTGAACCATTCGTGAGTGAGTCAGGAAATAATTATAAAATTCGTATTGCAGCAATACACAAATTATAAATTCCATTTATTTTACAAACAGCTGCAATTGCCTTTAGGTACTATAGATATTGAAATTCAGTTATTTAAATCATAACTAAAACACATGTATATTAATTAACTTCATTGAGTTCATTTGTCGGTAAGTGGCAGTCTTAATTCCGTGCTGAAGAGTTCGCACAACACTCGCGGAAAAATGTTTCGCTTAACTTTTGTAATTTTGCTGTATTGTATTTTACTTTTCCAGATCAGATTTTGCTACATTCAGGATAATTCAAATTCAAGTAAACCGTGCGCTTGCGTTTGCGATTCTGCTGTGCAAGTCGGCGTTTTTGAAGATAATCTCGTAGACGAAAATCCATCAACCACGGAACAGTAAAAATTATTAGATTAATGGCCTCTAGTCTAGAATGTATTACACATTGTTATTAACTGTTTATTTCAGGCGACCAGTAAACAGACCGTTAAGTTGTATGGAAGCAACAGCTGCAAGCAATAAGAGTGGTGTTTATAAAATTCAGATACCGCAGCTTAAACTCCCCAGTGTGGATGTGTATTGTGATGATGACACTGACGGCGGCGGATGGTTGGTTTTTCAACGGCGTGTAACCTATGAGGAGAATTTTTATAGAGATTGGAAGAACTACCAAAATGGATTTGGCGATGTTAGCAAAAGCTTCTGGTTCGGTTTGGAAAAGTTGCACGTGCTTACTAGTAGCTGCGAACACGAGATGTATATTAAATTAAGAAAAAAGAATGGCGAAGAATACTATGCTAAATATACAAAGTTTCGTATTGGTTCCGAGTCAGAAAGCTATGCTTTGAAGGAATTGGGTGATTATAACGGCACTGCTGGTGATTCCTTAATTAGAGGACATCTGGGAATAAAATTTTCAGCGATTGATCGTGATAATGATAATCATGGAAGATGGCATTGTGCATATTATTTTAGAAGTGGTTGGTGGTTTCACAAATGCTATTTTAGGTAAAGAAATTACACGTATCAGTGATGGTGGTGCTTTATCTTTTATATTTCAGTAACCTGAATGGACTTTATCTTGCAACCAAAAAATACGGTATAAACTGGAATTCCATTGAAAATGAGGTGCCTTTAGGATTTTCGGAAATGATGATGCGACCAAAACAATCTTGCTGGAGACAATTAATGAAACAAAGTTTAAATCGAGTTGTTTAAGAAGTTTTACTATTTTAACTATTTACAAATAATACAAATCGCAAAGCAATTAATATTCCAATATACTTGTATTCAAATGCTTAACTTAGCTTTTCGATATATACCTTTCTATTATAATTTATCTATTAAACGGCAAATAAAATTTGGCACACAATCTTCTCTCATCAAGAAGCCACTCGTTTGACGGTACCGTTGTCATATCTTTGCATAGAAAATTTTTTTATTTGAAAGGGTAACTTCATGAAATTAGGCATGGCTTATTACCCAAGGCATCGCAACAAACGACTAAGTCATTGTTCAGATCGGACCACAAAGACCAAAAGCGTAGAAAACTCTTATGAGGAAAATATTATAATGGTTATGCTGTATAAATTTGTGTCAGAAACTTTGACGAGTTTAGCTTCTAGGGCACCTTTCCCAATATCGATGAAATCATCAACAACGTGCGTTGAAGGAGATGATTAAAGCCTAACCTAGAATAGTTAGAGGTGGGATCGAACCACAAGCAGCTCCACAGAGAGGTAGTGCAAAGACATCCCGAAAGGTTAACAGGAGCATCCTGCAGGGAGAGATGCTTTCCGCGCTGCTTTAGATCTTGGTGGTAAACGATACGATTTACTTAAGAGCTCGAGGAACAAGACTCACATACCGACGAGGGAAGTGTGAATAGGGCGGAGTCGCTGAAGAAGAGCCCCCCAGAGATTTTTCACGAATGGATCGAAGCTAGTAAGGAAAGTTTTATGTAAATGTAATCTTACTCTTAGTCTACCGAACCGCTGTAGTATTTTATAGGCGCAGTGGGTGCTTAAGGTGGTGATAGATGTACTGCACAAACTGCAGCCTCTTTCGAGAAGGTGAGCATTCACTCCGACATCAGAGCGGCAATACGAGCGTTGAACTCGCTAACTCGCTCAAAGTTAGTCCAAGATTATCTGTGCTCCCTGGAAATAACATGAAGCCGATAGACGACCGACTCATGTGCGACTTTAAGATCCTTTTAATCAAGAGTGGAGAATTGGAAATTTTTTTGAACTACTTATTCCTAGCAAAGTTCATTTTGTCGCAATCGCAGGATTCTTAAGAGACATTAACTAATAGGCTTTCATGTGGTAAGGCTAAAAATCTTAACGTACATGCTGTAAAATTTCTATGGAAGAGGGTGGTATGGATTCATCCAGGCACTTTCATCTCCATTACCCAGCCTTTGCTAATCAGAAAACTGATCATAAACTTATATTAGCGATCTCATCTAAAGATGTGATGGACACAAAACACTTTTTCGATTTGTGAGGATCTTGTGATCTATTAAATGGGTGTTTGTTGTAACTCTAGTCGAAATTGGATTATAAGTTAAATGTAATTCCATGAACATACCTACTTCGGAACAGCGTCTTGCAATATTTGAAGTGATCTGTGTGCAAAGAAAATCATTGGTTTATATCTCTATAAAAAGTGTAGCCGCCCATAATGCTTCAAGTAACAATAAACTTTATGGAGCCATGATTAACGACTTTTTCGTGTTTAAATTGCTGATCTGCACAACCTTTCCAGGTTCCAGAAAGATTACGTTACATGCCATACAGCCCACGAATAACACCGGTGGACGGGATGTTCCTCCTCTCTTCCGTCTCTTTCTATGATATGGTTCTAAACTTTTCCATGCACCCTTTTACCTCCAAGAAGCTGCTCATTTGTCGGCATTGCCGATATCGGACAACTATAGCACATAACTGCCATACCAACTGATCACTACAATACAAGTTCTACTACGGTGCCACCACAGTTAACGTCTCTTCTCTTGCTTCGATTAGTTTTAGGTAAATTTTAACCATTTGTGAGTGAGTCAGTAAATAATTATAAAATTCGTATTGCAACAATACACAAATTATAAATTCCATTTATTTTACAAACAGCTGCATTTGCCTTTAGGTATTATAGATATCAAGATTCAGTTATTTAAATCTTAAGGAAACCACATGTATGTATATTAATTAACTTGATTGAGTTCATTTTTCGGCAAGTGGCAGTCTTAATTCCGTGCAGAAGAGTTCGCACAACACTCGCGGAAAAATGTTTCGCTTAACTTTTGTTATTTTGCTGTATTGTATTTTACTTTTCCAGATCAGATTTTGCCACACTCAGGATAATTCAGAATGCAGTTGCATTTGCGCTTCTGGTTTGAGAGTTGGTGTGGTTGAAGGTAATGACGTTGAAGATCGAAGTAGTGAAGTTAGCAACGACGTTAAAAATTCGGAAGCCGAAAAGCAGCCCTTAAACAGCGCAAAAACTTCGGAAAAAGAAAATCCTTCTACTACGGAACAGTAAAAATTATTAGCTAGTTATATCTAGTTCTTATCTTCTAGTCTAGAATGCAGTACTCATTGTTGTTAACTTTATTTCAGGGCGCCAGTAAACAGACCGTTAAGTTGTATGGAAGCAACAGCTGCAAGCAATAAGAGTGGTGTTTATAAAATTCAGATACCGCAGCTTAAACTCCCCAGTGTGGATGTGTATTGTGACGAGGATACTGATCTGTCTCTTATACACATCTAGATGTGTATAAGAGACAGCGCGCCTTTAGGATTTTCGGAAATGATGATACGACCAAAGGAAACGTGCTGGAGATAATTAACGAAGAAAGTGTTATAAAAAATAAGAATAAAGTTTTACGAAAATATACTATTTTAAGTATTTGCATTACTATTATATTTATATCGTATTAATCCGTATACAAATTACAATGCAATAAATATTCCAACATACAGACTTATATTCAAATTTTACCATAAATATCGGATAAACCTGAATAAAATGACTGTGAAGCTGATGTGTAAGATATCTGTACACAAAACTATAGTGAATGCCGTAAACGTGTGTTGCTTGCTGACTTTAAACCATGCATGAATGCAATTGGTTTCAGACCACTGGTCCAAACCTCACATCCCTAGGCAACAATTAGTAATGAATTATAATCCTTTGGTTGACGTTTTCCACATCGGCTCAATAATCAAATTTATATTTGCTATATCTTTATATATAAAAATTACGTGTCCCGTTGTTTGTCCGCGATGAACTCCTAAACTACTGAACCGATTTTAGTAAAATTTAGCGCACTATGTCCGACTTAGAAGATAGGATAGTAAATACAATTCATAACTAATAAATATAGTGAAAGCTCAATTAAATGGATGCTCTATTAAGCGGATATCTTTATTAATTAAGCACATTGGCTTATAATTAGTTAATGTTTATTAAGTACAATCTATTAAGCAGACAACTCTATTAACTGGACTGAAAGGCTGGTAACCAGACATTGAAAACATCGTTAAATTCATTATGTTTATTTATTTCTATGAACATATTCAAAATTAAAACTCCAGTACAATCCCTTGGATTCTTATGCCGACAAAAACATTTTCGCCTGTATTCGTATATAAAATTTTCACTATTTTGAATAGTTTATTATATGAATAATGGTATAAAATGTAAATCATAGCAACGCGTGGCCAGATTTACTAGTAGTATAAGTCTATAGGAACATATATAAAAAAATCACCGTGACTCACTACGTTGATTTACCCCTGTATTTCTTACTCGAGCTTTTATTTGAGATATCCATCCGAGTTTTTGCACACGTCCTTCTCTCACTAAGAAGTTCGTCATATATCGGAATCCTCGATATCCGATCGCTATGGCTGATAGCCGCCATAGAAAGCAACCGCTCAAACTGAAACGCCTGTGTGGAAAACTTTTTTCTTTAACACGATATCTTCACAAAATTTACCGTGGACTACTGCCAAAGACAATGCAACAATACTTGAAAAAACAAAAAAAAATGTCAAATTGGATCACTATAGCTTATACTGCCATACAAAGTGATCGATCAAACTCAAGTGATTGTAATGAAAACCTTTTTATTTAAAAAGATATCTCCAAAAATTTTGACACAGTTTGTTATAAAAGACAACGCTATATTCTCTAAACAAAATTTAGATCGGACAACTAATCAAGTTCTTGTGAGGAAAAATCTTTTATTTATATAAAAATCTTCACTAAATTTGACACGGTGCAGCCGAAGTTAATGTTCTTTTCTTCTTCTGAATTCAGTTTTATCACATTCAACGCATTGCATTTGGCACTTGCCGCACACTCTTTGTGTTTTTATCTTTTCTGTTGCAGGCGTTGTTTCTACGCGCACTTTGCTTTGTGTTCTTAACTGTAGTTTTTATCATTAAATGCATACGCACTGCATATATGCCGTCATTCCATCTCCATTCAATATAACACACATTGTGCCTCTATCGACTTCCGGTGTATTTTATTGTGGTTTTATTTTATTTTATTTTTTTCTTTTATTTAAAATTAATACCTCTTTATGGGCAATCACTTTCGGTAAATTATTCACAATTATTCTAGAAATTTATCAATTCAACAGGCTGCCGGCATATAGCTAAGTACGCATACAGTCGGACACACATAGGTTGCCTGCTAGACGAGTTATTTTGAACAATGTGGACAAATTCATGGAACTATAACAATAAAAAATGGTATGCTAATTTGTAGCGCATGTATGTATGTACATAAGGTCGCCTAAAATACAAAACAAGGCATCATCAAAGAAATCAAAATTGAGTTTTTCATTACTAACGATTCAGTACATCACTTTAACTATAGGTAGCATGAAATTTTCAGCTTCCGCTGTCAGATAAGCAATATATAACTAATACATAACCAATATATAACCAATAAATAACCAATATATAACCGTTTTATAACCAAAACAAAAATTTTGTTTCAATATGAGTGTTGAAAAGTGATGTGACGTTATGTTGCCGTTTAGGTGACGATATGTACTTACAAACAACTTATTTAGCAAACAATTTTATGAATGAATTTTCGATCAACACGATTAAGCAAATACAGCAAATGTTTAAGTCCAATGGTGGACGATTTTATTAATATTAAATATATTAACATTCATTGTTTGTTAAACAAGGGAATGCTTCCTGACTAAGCTTTTAGTAGCCATATAGTAGTAAGGCTTAAAAATTAGAATTATGCGGTATAAATTGATTAAGACAACACGAAACGCTTGGGTAGCTGAACTTCAGATATTTATGAACAGCT